AAGTCAAATTGTCCCTGTTTGCAGATGACAAGATCCTATACATAGAAAAACCTAAAGACTCTTACAAAAAACTCTTAGACTGATAAATGAATTCAATAAAGTAGCAGGATACAAAATCAACATACAAAAATCAGTAGCCTTTTTATACTCCAACAACAAACTAGCAGGAAAAGGAATCAAGAAAGCAAGCCCATTTATAAGAGCTACCAAAAAAGTAAAATACCTAGGAACGAATTTAACCAAGGAGGTGAAAGATCACTACAATGAGACTACAAATCACTGCTGAAAGAAATTAAAGGGGACACAAAAAGACGGAAAAACATTCTATGTTCATGGATTGGAAAAATTAAAGTTGTGATAATATCCATGCTACTCAAAGTGATCTATAGATTCAGTGTAATCCCCATCAAAATACCAATGACATTCTTCACAGAAATAGAAAAATACTGACATTTATATGGAACAACAAAAGACCCCAAATAGCCAAAGCAATACAGAGCAAAAAAAAATAAATAAAGCCAGAGGCATTACACTACCTGACTTCAAATTACACTACAAAGCTGTAGTAACCAAAACAGCACAGTACTGGCATAAAAACAGACACTCGGACCAATGGAACCAAGAAATCAATCCACATACTTACAGCCAACTGATTTTTGACACAGGCACCAAGAACATACATTGGGGAAAAGATTGCCTCTTCAATAACTGATGCTGGGAAAACAGCACACCTATGTATAAAGAGTGAAACTAGACCTGTCCCTCTTACCATGTTCCAAAATCAACTCAACATGGTTTAAAGAATAAAATATAAGACCTGAAACCATAAAACTCCTAAAAGAAAACATAGGGGAAACACTTCAGGAAGTAGGACTGTACAAAGACTTTATGAATAAGACCCCAAAACACAGGCAACAAAAGAAAACATAAACAAATGGGATTACATCAAACTAAAAAGCTTCTGCACAGCAAAGGAAACAATCAACAGAGCAAAAAGCAACCTACAGAATGAGAGAAAATATCTGCAAACTATGCACCTGACAAGGGATTAATATCCAGAATATACAAGGAACTCAAACAACAGTGGAAAAAAACAAGTAACCTGATTAAAAAATAGGCAAAGGAGCTATAGAGTCATTTCTTAAAGGAAGACATACAAATAGCCATTAGAAACATGAAAAAATGCTCAACATCACTAATCATCAGGGAAATGCAAATCAAAACCACACTGAGATATCGTCTCACCCCAGTTAGACTGGCTATTATCAAAAAGACACAGAACAAATGCTGACGAGAATGTGGAGAAAGGTGAACCCTCCCACACTGTTAGTGGGATGGTAAATTAGTACAGCCATTATGGAGAACAATATGGGTGTTTCTCAAACAACTACACACAGAACTGCCATACAATCCAGCAATCCAACTGCTGGGTGTATAGCCAAAGGAATGGAGATCATCATATCAAAGGGATACCTACCTGCTCTCCCATGCTTACTGCAGCTCTATTTACAATAGCCGAGAGGAAACGAACCTAAATGTCCATTGACAGATCACTGGATAAGGAAAATGTGGTATATATACACAATGGAATACTATTCAGCCATAAAAAAGAATGAAATTCTGCCATTCGCAGCAACATGGATGAGCCTGGAGAACCTTATGTTAAGTGAAATAAGTCAGGCACAGAAAGAGAATTACCACATATTCTCACTCATAAGTGGGAGCTGTAAAATAAAAGAATAAAAAAGAAAGAAAAAGAAACAAACAAATGAACAATTACAATAATTCCTTGAACTTTCAAAAGGAGTGAAGAGAACTGTGTTACTAGAAGTGGGAAAGGGAGAGGGGAAGGGGGAGTTAGCAAGTAATTTAAGGGTCACAAAGAATGATTACGTTTTATAACGATGAATATACTAATTATCCTGATTTGATCATCACATATTCTACACAGGTACTGATATGTACACAAATATGTACAATCAATTTTGTTTCAATTAAAAAAAAGAGAGGCATGCATATGCACATATATTGTTTTTCTAATTATATCAGTAATTTTTTTTTTTTTTTTTTGTCTTTTTCCGTGTCCGGCAACGGATCGCAACCCTCAGTGTCGCCCCCGCACCGGACCGGGACCGGCAACGGGATCGCAACCCTCGGTGTTGCCCCCGCGCCTCGCTCAGCCAGTGAGCGGGAACCGGTCTGTATGTGGGATCCGACCCCTCGGCGGGAGCGCCTCTGCACTTCCCAAGCGGCGCACTAGCGCAGTGCGCCACCGGGCTGGCCCTATATCAGTAATTTTGACATCACTGGGGAAAGTTTGGAAAAGATGTAAAAAATAATAATCCTACCAAACTCATAAAACTATCATTGATCTTATTAAAATTTGTTTAACTGATAAACCGAATTCAAGTGCAATGACATTAATTTGCTGCTTTTTTAATGCAGTGAAGATTTTTTTTAATTCATAAAAAGTCCACAATAGTATTTAGGTTACCATTTTAACCATTTCTAAGTATACAATTCAGTGGCATTAAGTACATTCACATTTTTGTGCAACCATCACTACCATCCATCTCTAGAACTTTTTGATCTTTTCAAACTGAAACTCATCACCCATTAAACAATAACTCCCCATGCCCACCACCACAAGTCCCTGGCCACTACCATTCTACTTTCTGTCTCTATGAATTTGACTACTCTAGGTACCCAATATAAATAGAATCATATATGTCTTTTTGTGTCTGGCTTATTTCACTTAGCATAATGTTTTCAAGGTTCATGCATGTGTCATAGCATATGTCAGAATTTCATTCCTTTTTAAGACTGAATAATATTCCATTTATATATGGTATATACTATGGCATATACCACATTTTGCTTATCCATCCATCAATGGAAATTTGTTTCTACCTTTCAGCTACTGTGAATAATGCTGCTACAAACATGGGTACACAAATATCTTTTCCAGTCCCTGTTTTCAATTCGTTTGGGTGTACAGTTAGCCCTCAGTGTAAGCAGGTTCTGCCTCCTTAGATTCACCTAACTGCTGATGGGAAATATTTAGGAACAATAACAATAAAAAATAACAATAAAACAATAAAAAATAACACACATAAAAAAGCAATAAAGTATAACAACTATTTATATAACATTTACATTGTATTAGGTATTATAAGTAATCTAGAGATGATTTAAAGTATATAAGAGGATGTGCTGTGTAGGCTATATGCAAATACTACGCCATTTTATATAAAGGACTTAAGCATCCTTGGATTTGGTAACTGCGTGGGTCCTGAAACCAATCCCCCACACATGCTGAGGGACGAAGTGGAATTACTAGATCATATGGTAATTCTGTGTTTAATGTTTTGATGAACTGCCATGCTGTTTTCCACAGTGGCTGCACCATTTTACATTCTCACCAATGCATGAGGATTCCAATTTCTCCACATTTTTGTCAACACTTGTTATTTTCTGTTTTTTTCATAATAGCCATCTTAATGGGTGTGAAGTGGTACTTTTAAGTCATGAATATTTTCCTTGTCACTTTGCCAAGGACTTTGATAACAGGATACAGCAGAAATACAAATTTCTGGCACCCTTTATGCCAGCCTATCCCTCTATCCCCACAAGGTTAGGGAACAGACCTAACATACGACATACCTAATATTCATCGTTAATCAGCAAACTAATACATTGGTTCTGCATTGTGACTGAAGCAACAATGCTTTGAACTGAGCCACAGCAGCAGTTGAAAAGATATTTTCACATCTGGGACAGCAGTGGTAAAGCAGAAAGGTCACTGAACTTGAAAACTCGGTTCTAATCCTTCCTGTGTGATCTTGACAAGACACTTCGCTTCTCTGAGACTCATTTCCTCATCTGTATAACAGGAATAATAACTCCTACTTCACAAGATTGTTGTAAGGATTAAATAAGATAATGTGTATGTGTGGGGGGGAGAGGAGCAGGCAGTAGAATAATAGCTAACATTTATGGAGTGCCTACTCAATACCAGATGCTGTGCTAGGTGATATTTATGCACTGTCTTCTCTAATCCTCATCAGCAAAGGTGCATGTTCTATCTCCACTTTAATGGATGAAGAAACTTGTGCCCCAGAAAAAATCAAGTGTCTTATCCAAGATCACACACCTAGTGATGGAACCACTAGTTTAAAGCCAGATTTCTCTATGCTCTTTCCACTATGCCAGTGGTAGCAAATCAGTTTCAAATCATATGTCAGCTCCAACTCACAGTGCTGTATTGAGAAAGATTCTGACACTGCATGCAGTCTCCACACAGTAATGGCACACTGATCACATATTTGACATGCCTATATCACAGCTGAAATGCTGCCAAAATAGAAGTTATACCTATGTACCACATCACTGCTACAATTCTCAAACACCCGATTTGATTTTTCTGATAAAGAGCAATAAAGCCAAGACTGCTTGCAAAGAAAAATAAAAAGCCCGACAATTTTAAGAAAAAATTCTAACAGCATAATTTACTGCACTGTTGTAATAGAACTCTAACAAAGAAAGTCGTCAGACTAAATGATAGTTTTGAAAATAGACATGTCTATAAAAGTACTATTAATTTGTTAATCATTAATGGGTATTTGCTATTATTCTAATTTAACATTTAAACATTTGCCTTTCCCTTGGAGATTACTAGTTCCTTGACTGAAAAAAGTCACTATGTGTTAGCAGCTTCCAAAGGTATTTTTTGCAGTGTCTACTATAGCATTTTTCAGGTGAGGATATATAGTCTATATTTATTGATGAGGACAATATAATAAGCAAATTCTTCTAACCTCTAAAATTCTATACTAAATTTTTAATTTCTTCCAAAAATGTCATTCAGATATTCATTTACATATTTCTTCACCCTGCAAAATGATGTCAGTTTTATTACCACAGAGCCTTTGTATTATGAAGTACTTATGATAAAGTACAGGGAGATAAAGCAAATCCTCAAAAAACCTCATTATACTTACAATCTCTCAAAAGAGTATTACTTTTCCTTGGGTACAAAACATGCATGAATTTTTTCCCAACAGCTTTTAGATCACGCATCTGAAAGACATAAACAACTTGTATTGTGATAACCATGGTTGCCAGGTAGCCCCCTCACTTAATTTGCTAAAATTTCTTTCATTTCAATCTCCTGGGAGCTCTTCATTGAATTTTGGAGCTAATTCCAAATCAACTCCTCCACTGTACAAACAAACCAGAGAGGCAGTGTATGCTTTTTCTGTTAACTCCGTAAGCTAACATCTAAAACGCTTCCACATCCCCCAGTTCTGTTCTGATTTTGAAAGCTCTGTGAAAGAGGAACATAGCCTTCCCAATATGCTACTTAAAGAAACTAAAATAATAGCACTATGAAAAGCTGTTCTGCAAAAATAGTTTGACATTTAGTTCATACATGATGAGGTTCCAAAGGCCAATTAGTCTGCTCCCTAGCTACCACATTCTTTGCAATATATAAAATAAATTAATTTCTGGCATTCACAATTTAACTGGTAGATGAATTCCAGAAGCCAGACACAAAAAATAAGGACATTTGAGGGGGGATTTAGTAATGCAAATCTAACCTCTCAAAATACAGTTGAGATCATTCTGTCCTAGTTTTGTCACATAGATATTTCTCCATGTCATTAGAAACTCTTTGTAAACATAACTTTTTTTTTTTTTTTCCTTTTTGTCTTTTTTCGTGTCCGGCAACGGATCACAACCCTCAGTGTCGCGCCCGTACCGGACCGGGACCGGCAACGGAATCGCAACCCTCGGTGTTGCGCCCGCACCTCGCTCAGTCAGTGAGCGGGAACCGGTCTGTATGTGGGATCCGAACCCTCGGCGGGAGTGCCACTGCGCTCCCAAGCGGCGCACTGTAGCATGCGCCACCGGGCCGGCCCGTAAACATAACTTTTAATAGTTGCTTAGCACTCTACCACATGGGCATAATTTACTTAACATTGGTTAAGTAAATGAACATCCCATCTGCTGTTCGTTTCCAATTTTCCCCTACTAGAAAGAATGCTATAATGAACATCATTATATTTTGATATTTTTCTATGTTTAAATTTTTTGTAATTTTTTCTTATTCTATATTTGAAGGAGAATTATTGGTTTAAAAATATTTGGACATTTTAAGACTCTTAATATCCATTATAGTCAAACTGCTTTCCAAAAAGGCTGTACCAAACTCTCCAGGGAAGAGTTTTAAACCTCAATAAATAAAATATACTAATAATCAGTGAACCACAAAAAAATATTAGAGTGCTATTAGTTGTTTTTTTTTGCTGGCCAGTACAGGGATTGAAGCCCAGACCTTAGAGTTATCAGCACCATCCTCTAACCAACTGAACTAAATGGCCAGCCCACTATTAGTTATTCAGTCCCATAATACTGAACAGAAGTTCTCTCAATTAGTCTAACTTACAATGGTATTCTGAACAGACTCATTTAATGTAGAGCTGTCAAATTCCCGAATGCGAGATCTCATAGGAATGGTGATTTCTCCTTCTACAGGGATGTCTTGTGAGATGGATATATCTGAAAGGCCTGCAAACTGAGAAGTGAGGAAAAAAGATTTTAAGCCTATAATAAATTGCAGCATCCCTCAAAGACATCATCATTTCCTAGAGAGTAGGGACCATGACTTTTTGTAGGGTTTTACACAGTAGTTAAAGTAGGTGTTAGCTCAACAGACATTAAGCAATGCAGTTAACTACAACTTTCAAATACTTATTTCTTTTAATTTAAAGGAGATGGTATGTAATTTTAAAAGATATTTAAGGTAAATGCAATACTTTCTTGCCTTCAAATATCTGGTTCCTTTCAAGCATGAAATCTTCACTTGGCAGAAGCTAACAAAATTGAGATAATAACTGCACAGATGAAAAAAAAAAAGTGAACTTCTAGCAATCACAGCTTAGAAAGGCCACATTTCTGTTGCATTTCTGCTCCTTAGTAGGCTCTAGTGGCCTCTGCAGGCTAAAACAGAGCATTACATAAAACATAAAGTGAACTGGGAAGAACAAGGAAATGGCAAAATACAAGGGTACTTCAAAATTCAAAAGTTCATGGAAAGATTCATATTATCTTTCAATTCTACTTTTCCACAAACCTTTTGAAGTACCCTCATACAGTATACCTTGATCTACACTCTTTTTACCAGGTTACCTGGCAACCATAAATCAAATAAAATTTTCAAAGTGAATAAAGAATGTGAAATTTAAAACTCTTATGTTCATCTGCCAAATGTGTTCACCACAACTGAAACTCTGGAATCTATAAATTCCTAAGAAAACAGAGCAGTCCCTTCTCAAACAGTTTTTGGCCCAGTGGGCACAATTTTTAGTGGGCAATAGTTGCAGGTAAATAAAACATAAGACAGTATACTGAAATTTTAGGAAAAATGAGGTTGTTCAAAGAACTTATGAAAAACAACTTCTCTACCTCATTCATATTTTTTAGCTATACGAAATAAGCCATATGACTTTTTAAAAGTTTTCCTATAGAGCAAAGGAAGAAATGGGGGGAAGAGGGAGGGGTGAAGGAGGAATCAGTAAAGGGACATGAAAATCACCTACATTGTATATTGATAAAATTTAAAAAAAAAAAAAAAAAGAGCAAAGGAAGAAATAGGATGGAGCAGGCAGGGAGACAAGCTAGGCTTCTTTGAGTATATGTATTCTGTTATATGACTTGAAATCATACAAATAATTCACACAATTATGAAATAAGATTAAAATTTATAAGAAGCAATCCCTGAAGCTGAGAGAAAAATTAAACAAATAAACCTACTGTATATTGAATTAAATACACAACTGCACAGAGAGCAACTATTTCAAGTGACTATAACACTGTAATTTGACTTCTGATTAGGATGTAGAAAGCTGGAAACAGCATCCCCCCTACAAGAACCATGAGTTAAATCTAGATAAACTATAAAACCATAACTTTCCTAGAGCTAAGGTTGTAGGGCAACCAAGCAGCATGCACGAAATCTAAGGAAAGACAGGTACTTCCAAGAAGAGGCAGGACTTCAGCACTGGCTCAACTGTAGCAAAGCATGACAGCAAGATGGCACTGGGCACCACACAGGTGAGTAAGAAGAATTCAACTTAAATTCTAAATGAATTGCTAAAGGCCAAGTATGAACTAGCATGAGAGTACAGAACCCCTGGAAGCAACAGACACAAGGGGAGTTCACACCACTTCCAAGCTCTTCTCAACAGAGTTCCACTAGGTGCTCACAAAAAAGACTAGAGAGAGGACAATTTTGCAGGTGTAGGGGAAAAGAGTAGCCACCATTCTGAGAAAGCACATAGCACCACTCAGTCATTCCTCCTCTACAGAAAAAAAGCCTTAAAGCTGGTTGGAGAAGGATGACAAATTCTGGTGCCTCCAAAGCAAAGGTGAAGACCCACTGTGGCTGGGGAAAGGGAAAAAACTCTCTAGTCCTGGGGGAGAGAAAGAAACCATCCCGGGCTCAGATCATTAGTTTCCTTCAGCTTGGGGACAGACAGGATCACTTAGAAAGTACCCCCCAGGAGACCCAGGAACACACGGCCTACCTAACATGAAGGCTGAACCACTGACGACAAAGAATCCCCCCACCCTGGCCCCCATGACCAGGCTAGCAAGTATGGAGTAACATGCAACAGCAGTCTACTGCTGGGGGACAGGCTAGAGCACAGAGAGACCCACTATAAGATGAAAGGGCAAAGATAGAATGCTGAGCACAGAACAGAAACATGAAGAAAAATACTGTTGGGGCGGCGCGGGGGAACACTGGGATACCTAGCACCCATCCTAAGCACAAGTTTAACAGTAGAGGAATCTGAAACTGGTAATGGACTAAAGGTACCCATGGCAACAACAAAACTCAAACACAGTTCAACTCCTAACATTGACTTAACCCCTACAGTGACAACTTAACAGAAGAGATGTGCTACTTCTGGCAGTCTCTACTGTTCTATACATGACATCCAGCATTCAATAAAAAATTATCCACCCCCCCCATACAAAAAACCAAATCACCATGATGAGACAAATCAATAAAACCAGACTCTGAGATGAACCAGTTGTTGGAATTATCAGAAAAAAAAAAATTAAGACGACTATGATTAATATGCTAAAGACTCTAGTAGAAAAGGAACATGCATAAATGATGGTGAATTTCTGCAGAGATGGAAACTGTAAGAGTCAGATGGCAATACTAGAAATAAATGAACATAGTAACAGATGAAGAATGCCTTTGACAGCTTATAAAACTCAATACAGCCAAAGAAAGAAATCCAAACTAAAACAAAAAAGAGACAAAGTGAAAAAAGAAAAGAAAATGGAATAAAGTGGGCCGGCCCGGTGGCGCACTTGGTAGAGTGCGGCGCTTGGGAGCGCGGCGGCACTCCCGCCAAGGGTTCGGATCCCATATAGAGACCAGTCCGCTCACTGGTTGAGCGTGGTGCGGGCACAACACCAAGGGTTGCGATCCCGTTACCGGTCATGAAAAAAGACAAAAAGGAAAAAAAAATGATTACATTAAAATCATCTACAAAAAAGAAAATGGAATAAAGCATCTAAGATCTGTGGAACAATATTAAATGTTCTAATTATGTAAATAATTGGAATCCCAGAAGGAAAAGAGAGTGATAATGGATCTAAAGAAATATTTGAAAAGGTAATGGTTGAAAATTTTCCAAAAATAATGAAAGACATCAAATGACATACCTAAGCCCAAAGAACCCCAATCAAGATAAATACCAAAAGAGGGCCAGCTCGTGGCTCACATGGGAGAGTGTGGTGCTGATAACACCAAGTCAAGGGTTAAGATCCCCTTACCGGTCCGGTCATCTTTAAAAAAATAAAATAAAAAATAAATACCAAAAGAGGGCCAGCTCGTGGCTCACATGGGAGAGTGTGGTGCTGATAACACCAAGTCAAGGGTTAAGATCCCCTTACCGGTCCGGTCATCTTTAAAAAAATAAAATAAAAAATAAATACCAAAAGATAAAGCAAAAAATCCACAAACCTAGACACATTCAAATTACCGAAAACAAAGATAA